ATAGCTCGTGAAGTCTAAAATATTTACTATTTGACCCTTTAAAGAGAAAGTTTGCTGACTGTTGAAATAAGGTACGATCAAGAAAGGAAAAAGACTATAGCAACTATCCTTAAATAACATGATCAAAATACATACCAGCATGAGTTGCAAATGTCTGAAAACCAAAACCTTATGTTTTGCTAAAAATTTACAAAGATTCCTCAGTCTTCATGCTTATTTCCCCAATGGGTAATTTCTTAAACGGATAAGAGTCTTAAGTCAGTAAATCTGCAGTTCACTGAAAGCTGCTGGATATGTGGATCTGGAGATCCCTGAGGGCTGCACTCAATGTACAAAAAAGACAAAGTGGCGCTTGGATAAATTTAATGGACTAACAGACTTTGTCTCTCACACTTTGGTCATGTTACCAGGCGGGGCCAGTCCCTGGAGAAGGACATCAGGCTCGGTAAAGTAGACAGTGAGTAAAGAGGAAGATCTTCAATGCGATGGACTGACACAATGGCTGCAACAATGGGCTCAAAGATAGCAACAACTGTAAGGATGGCACAAGACTGGGCACTATTTCACTCGGTTTACATCAGGATGTTATAAGCTGGGATCAATTTGACGGCACATAACAACCACAACCAGACAATAGCTATCGGACCTCTTTCTACTTCCAAAAGAAATTACAAATACGGTGATCATGTATTTATATTTGGATGTGCTTCTTAGAACTTGACTCAAACCCAAACCAAACTCACTGCCATTGAGTTGATTTTGACTCACAGCAACCCCTTTTAGGTTTTTGAGGTGGTACATATTTATGGAAGTAGACTGCCCAGTCTTCCTTTCACGGAATGGCTGGTGGGTTTGAACTGCCAACCTTCTGGTTAGCAGTCAAACCTTAGGCACCAAGCCACCAAAGCTCCTTAGAACTTGACTAGCATCTATCAAATACAAAAGTAAATTAACATTAAAGTACAGCAAATCCTTTTATACAAATCAGTCTTATAATGCTATTTATGACTTACCTTGGCCACAGATAGAGCTTCCTTACGAAAAGATTTCTCATCACTCTTTCCACATGACAAAAGCCGGTATCAAAGGCAATTGCATTATCTGTGAAAGCTTTAATGAAACCACGTTTGTTTTTCTGGCGAAAGAGACGCAAGATGAATGCTTCTTGACAGGACTCAATTATTCTGTGAGATCTGTACACCAAGATGCCTGAGGGAGAAA